TTACATCTATCGAACTAGGTTATGGATTTACCTTATGTTTTTCCTCCTTGATTTGAAGCTTGAAAATCAAGTTTCCAAGGGCCATTTTTTCTTTTCCTTAAACTTCAAATAACTCTTAAAGTCATTTCGAGAATTAGTCAACTTTTCAATAACTAATTTCACATTAAAGAAATCAAATATTTTCATTCCAAATTTACATATTGTACTCTAACAACTAAAAATCTTTTGCATGATCACAACTGACCACTTGTCAATCATTTGTTACAACATATATCTCGACAGTTCTTACTTTTGCGCACCATCTTCAGTATTATATTTTTCATTCCAATTGGTGCCAAAAATCATGTGAGAATTTTTAGTATAGTATACAGCTTAGTTAGGACATTTAATATAAAATTTAATTATAAAAGTTCTCGTAGCACCATTAGTTATAAACAACATTCTTGGCAGGTAGTGGATCTTGAGCGAAAAATGTCACTATACCAAGAGCAATCAAGTAGACAACTTCTTTTAGTACTTGGTGCAGATATCAATGCGGAAGGTTGAGCCGATTTTTTGGGCATGCATTAGAAGAGATGTATTGCGCAATCAAAAGTAGTTGGTTTTTATCCAAAAACAATGACAATAAAGATGATTGAATTGCATACATATGTAGTGATGGAGAATGCCGGTGTGAAGGCGGCAATCGGGATCAGTAAAATGGTAGAGATAATGGTAGTATGTGATAGTATAGTGAGGTTGCCCATTGTAAGATTTTACTCCGTAGAGAATAGATAGATATTAATTATTTAAAATTTTTCTTTCATAAAATGAAAAAAAAAAAATTGTCTTATAATTGTTGGTAAGTATTACATATGTGCTTAATAAGATGAATGATTAAAAACAAAAATAACAATATCAAACAATAATGCATAGAGTCAATAAGTTCACTTATTGGAAAATTAAATTTTACTAAGTAATGTTTCGGTTTCGACGATTTGTCCTTATTGTAAAATGATTTTTCCTTTAAAGAAGTAACACCTCAATCAAAAAATGATGAGAAATATAAAGGAAGGATTGAGTTATTGTGAATTTGTAGAATGCAAAGTATGTGAAAATGATTGAAGAAAAGTCAAGCTTTTATAAATGAAGTTGTGAGATATTTTCCGCTTGAAGATAAAAAAATTTTTTTAAAAAAAAAACAAATAATAAATAGTGAAAGTTTTGAGGAAAAAAAAAAATCAACCAGACGCGATGTAGAAGTTTTATTAAATTTAATAATTCAATTATAAATATAATAATTAAATTTATAATTTTTTTCTAAATAGGGAATATGGTCAATTTATTACATTTTACTGTCAAATTTATTGTAATAGTTGTAGTAAGTACACGTCTTTTATAATTTCTATTAACTTTTAAAATAGAGTTTGTGTAATATTCTTAAAAATATAGGTAAATATTGGGTAATTTACTAAATATAAGAAAAGATTTATGAAATTTAATCAAATTAAAGAAAACGGAGTGTTATAGACAATTTATCCAAATATTTCTAGATACTTATTATGTTTCGATTTTTAATATTTTTAAATTAAAATAACAGTTAAATATAATACTTTAAAAAGATGTAGAATATAATGTTTTTTTTTTTTTTTTTACACTGATTGAATAATTATTTTATTTAAAAAAAATATACTTTGAAAACGGAGTTGTACTTTAGGGAGTGTATTCAATCTAGATTCTATAGGATTTTGTTGAACTTTTTAAATTCGAAGGTATTCAATCTAAACTTTTTAAAGTTTTTTAAAATCTTGATGTATTCAATAGAGACTTTTAAAAGTCTTTACTTTCAAAGTTTATGGATTTTAATGAATTTTTAAATATATATTTTATATTATAAATATAATTTTAAAAAATACTATTATCATAATAAATATGTATTATTGTCGTTTTTTGTTTTCAATTATCGAATATAATATATTGTCCTTTCGATGTAATTCTCTTTTTTCAATTATCGAATACATCATATTATCATTTTGATGATGGTGAAATAAATATTTAAATATATTTTTTGTTGTTAAAACCGTTAATTTAAATTTATTTATATATTTATTTTAACATTTTTTTCAAAAATCGTAAATTATATTTTTTATTTGATTTATATATGTATTTTTTTATATAAAAAAATTATATAAATAATAATAATAACTAATAAAGAAATGTAAAATTAATTTGATATATCAAATGATAGTATAATACTAAAATTATAAAATTAAAATTAATAATTTACAATATAGTAGTGTTACATATGTTACAATATTTCTACATTATTAATAATTATATATTATTTATTAATATTAAATTTTATTTTATTAATACTTATATATTTTATATTTATAAAATTTGTGTTGGATATAAATTTATATAATTAATATATATTCATAAAAAAAAATTATTTTATAATCCTACAAAATCCATAAATAATTCAATAAAATCGGTAGAAATCCGTCTAATCAATTATTAAAATACATCAAAACTCTGTGGATTTTCTAAATTCACATAAATCCATAGATTATTTAAAATCCAAAAAAATTCATTAAAATCTCAATTGAATAGACCCCATTTGTTTACATATATATCTTTGAAAATATTTTGCATTGCTTTAGTAGTTTTTTAAAAATAAAATATCATATCAAATATTTGTTTTGTTTGTAGATTTTAGATTTAAATTTTGAATTGAAATAATTATTTGATGCGATATAAATACGTACTTTTATGACTTTTGAATTTATAATTATATTTTTATATATTATAATAAATAAAAAATAGATATTGAATTTGATTTTTTTTTTAAAGATTTTTTTTTTCCTTTTTTTTTTTCTTTTGAATCATAAAATCTTTTAAAAACCTACAACAACATCCTAATGTTAAAGTAAGATAAATAATATATAGTAATATATTTTAAGAAATTTATGGGAAAGTTCATAAAAAAAATAATAATAATAGTAATAATACTCAGTAAAAATTATAATGACAAAATTATATATTATTATTTATTAAGATAAAAATGATAAAGAAGATTATACATAAAAAAAAAAAAAAAAAAAAATTATGATAAATAGACTATATGCATTTTTGACAAATGGAGGAATTATTTACATCACATTAAATTTCAAACAATTTACTGTATTTGGGCAAACTATATAATATCATTGTATTTAAGTATAAATGCACGAAATACTCTTTTTTTTTATTGCATGAAATAGTTTATATTAAATTAAAGTATGTATAAAATATTTGTTTTGTTCAAAGTTAATGTTTGGTGATAAATACGTATTTAATTATGCAAATATTATACAAATAAAAAATAAAATATATTAAGTAGTCTTATTTAAATAAAATAAATAAATAATTTATTGATCAATAATTTATTTAATAGTATTTTTAGGCAAATATTTGCCTAATTTTTCCAACAAGAAAGGAAAAAAAAAACTATAAACCAAAAAATTAATAGTTAGATACGTATTTATAACTAAACATCACTTTTGACAATGAGAATTTTATGCTATAAATAAAACATTATAGGGGTATTTATACGTGAGATTTTGGTTTGTGGTTTTAGTTTTAAAAAGTACTCCCTCCGTCCCATGTAATATGGGTGTATTACTATGGACACGGGAATTTAGGTAAAGTATAATTAATAAGTAATTAAGAAGTGTATTAGTAAAAATAATTATTATTTAGTAAAAATAATTATAGATTAAGATTAAAATAAGTAAATAGTTTAATTAAAATTAAGAAAATTTAAAATTTAAAATCCGATTAAAGTGCATAATTATATTTCCAAAAATAGAAAGAACAAGTTACGTGGAACGGATGAAAATAAAAAATATGGACAAATTATGTGGGACGGATGGAGTATAATTTTGAATTGAAATATAATATAAATATGAGATAGGATCACCGGTCCCTTCCCTTCCACTCCCCGCGCACAAAATGATATATACACACTATATGTATGTATATATTGATATAATATTTTGAATAAAATTAGGTTTTAATGTAATATAGGAAATATTTTATTTGATATTTTTTAAATAAAAAATTAAAATAGTAAAATCAAACAAAAATTTCACAAATTTTGAATTTGAATAGTTGTATGACAGCTATATAAATAGATATTGATGTAATTTTTTGAATATGAAATTAATTTTTAGTGTAATATAAAAATACTCAATCCGTCTGGCTCTAAAGGTCTCATTTACATTTTGTGTCGTTGTACTTAACATTAAATATATTTTTAAATTTGTATAATTTTTTGCATAAATGTCATTATAATAGTATTATAAGACACTAATAAAAGTATTTTTGTCATTTTTCCTTAATTTATATTACATTTTTATATAATAATTAATATTCAAATATCAACACGCAAAAAGTAATTTAGACCCTTAGAGACAGACGGAAGTAGTAAAAAATAAGTGTTTGATTTGATGATTTTGGAAAAAAAAATTAATAAATGGTAAAAATTAAGTAATATTTAATAAAAAAACACACCATTTATGTATTTTATAGATTCATACTAAAATACAAAATAATACTCCCTCAATCTCATAAATATAGTCTTAATTGGGTTGGATACGAGATTGAAGGAATATTGATATAATATTGGTAGTCGGTAAAAAATATGGATAAAAGACTTTTTTGCCCTTGTGAGTGTATTAGTGTAAAAAGTAGTGGCAATTGTGTAATAAAAATAGAAAAATATGGATAGTTTTACAGTGATATAGTTATTTATGAAAACAAGACTACTACTGTTTTGGGACGAATAAAAATAGTAAACAAAACTATTGTATTGAAACTTCATTATATTATGTATAGCAGGTGAACCTGAAAGCATCGAAATTTGAATCCATAACCTCACTGTCACAAATTCACTCTCACGGCGTCGCCATCCTTACTAGACATTTATTTTTTTAACATAGATGTGGGGTTGGCTCCTACTTGGATGCATGAGTGTGAGTTAAAAATAAACAAATAAATAAATAAAATACTAAAATTTTCTTCGTCCAATGGATCCTCCCTCTTCTTCCACAACCCCAACTACCCACCTTCGATTCCACACAATAAGTAAGTAAGCCTCCTTCAGACCACACAGTCAGTCACAGCAATGGCAGAATCTCTCACTTCCAAAACCATGGCGGAAAAGGAGAACCAAAATGACACTGCTGCAGCAGCAGAAGAAGAACAAATCATCAACTACAGAGGAATCAGAGTCATGCCTTTCATCATCGGTAATTAATTAATCAATCAATCGTCTATCCATCACTTTTATCAGATCAAATGTTTCCAATTCCAAATCTCTAAATCCATCCTCAGGAAACGAGACCTTCGAGAAGCTCGGCGCCATCGGCACTCTGTCCAACCTCCAAGTCTACCTCACCACCGTCTTCAACATGAAGCGAATCTCCGCCACCACTCTCCTCAACGTTTTCAACGGCACCACCAACATCGCCACCCTCGTCGGCGCCTATCTCTCCGACACATACTTCGGCCGCTACAAAACCCTAGGCGTCGCCTCCATCGCCTCATTGCTCGTACGTAACTTTACCCCAAAACCGCTCTTCTCAATTTTTCAAAAATTTGCAGTTGCAAAAACGTGTTTTCCAATTTTCAGCGCTTTTCACCAAAAGCGTTTTTTCACAAAATTCCCCTAGGGTTTACTGGCGGTGAATCTCACGGCGGTTTTCGAAAACCTCCACCCCCCGAGCTGCCGCGGCGGCGACGGCCGATGCGTCGGCGCCGACGCCGGACAGATGGCTTTTCTCCTGTTCGGATTCCTGCTGCTGATCGTCGGCGCCGGCGGAATCCGGCCGTGCAATTTAGCGTTCGGCGCGGACCAGTTCAATCCGAAGACGGAATCAGGGAAGAGAGGAATCGATAGCTTCTTCAATTGGTATTATTTCACGGTGACTTTTGCGCAGATCGTGTCGTTGACGGTGGTGGTTTACGTGCAGTCGAATGTTAGCTGGTCGATCGGACTGGCATTGCCGACGATTTTCATGTTGCTGTCGTGCTTCCTCTACTTCGTGGCGAGCGGGATGTACGTGAAGGTGATGCCGGAGGGGAGCCCCATGACCAGCCTGGTTCAGGTGGCGGTGGTCGCCGTTAAAAAGCGCCGCCTGAAGCTGCCGGAGCAGCCGTCGATCAGCCTCTTCAGTTACATTCCGCCGAAGTCAATTAACTCTAAGCTGCCCTACACTCATCAGTTCAGGTATTTATTATTTTATCTCAATCCCCAAAATTATGCTAATTTTCTTTTTAAATTGCTCGTCACTTGTTTGAAAATTCAGATTAAAATCTCTTTGCATTATAAAATTGCATACTCTTTTATTCTTTCAAATGTATGCCATGAAACCCCACCATTATTAAAAATTTTTTTAGTGATAAATTTTTTTTTCTATCTATATATATTTTGCATCGAGAGGGGGTTTAGGGTTTCATGTTATTTCAAGTACTGTAGCTCATGCAATTTTTAAAATAAATGGGAGATTTACACTGAATTTCGAAATCATAGATGAATTTCAGACAATATTTTTTAAAATATAAAGGAACATCATGAAATTTTTAAAATAAATTAAAGATTTACGCTGAATTTCGAAATTAAAGAGAGTTATGAGCAATTTTATCAATTAAATTTATATACAATTTATTTATATTAAAGTAGAACAGTAAAATTACTCGTCCACTATTTTGCCACCATACAGTCAAATCGCAGTTTGACTCTCATCTATATGAATTTCTCATTATTATCATAGTCGTATTTTCTAAGTATTAGTTTTTATATTAAAATATTATTTTTATGTTTACTTTTAATATATTTATTTTGTCATTTTATTATCCATATTTTTAATCATTTTATTTTTTAAAGTAATTGTAATTTTTATTTAAATAAATAATATATTTATATTTTACACAAATATATTTTTTAAAAAATACCATTAAAAAACAAATAGATTTTAGTGTAAAAAAATCTTTGTATTCTTCTATTTCCATTGGAAGTGTTAGTGGATGGGAAGAATATTGCTACTATTTTTTAAGAACTGCTATTTGATTTTAACAGACGAGTAAATATTCTTATAATTAAATCCTTATTCCATTTCAATACAATAATCTTATTTATCATTTTTATCCGTCTTAAAACAATAGTCTGATTTTTCATCAATAATCTTATTACTATAAAATTACTTTTTACTTTTTCATTTTTATTATACAATTGCCACTACTTTTTACACTAATACACTCGTAAGGGCAAAAGAGTTTTTTACCCGTACTTTTTACCCACTACCAATATAATATCAATATTTCTTAAATCTCATGCCAAACACAACCCAAACCATAATTTTGGGGCAAATGAAGTATTATTTACGAACTCATAAAATTAATTATCTCTTGTCAGTCAAAATTATGTTAGTATTTTTTTATTAGTTAAACTTATGTACGTTATGTTTATAATTAAATATTTTATTTCTAAAATTTTATATTTTTACTTTAACAAATAATATCAATTCCTCAACTGATTTTTCCTACTTTTCATACTATTTTTTTTATTAATTTATTAATAAATTTTTTCTAATATTCTTATTTTAATACTCCCTTGGTCCACAAACTAACGTCCTACTTTCATATTTGGAATGTCCAACAATTATTGTCCTCTTTTAATTTTTATACACAAAATTTACTCTTTTATCTTTACTTTATTTACTCTTTTATTTTCTATACACAAGATTAAGGACAAATTTGTCATTTTATAACAAAAATCCTAATTGATTTTTAATAGTATTATAATATTATTACTTTTTAATCTATGTTTTCAGTAAAAAATTTATAATTTTTCCGGACTGAAGAAATACAATCTTTTGCAAGTTATAATCCATGCACATATTACAAAATGTAATACTACAAGGTCAAACTATATATATATATATATATAATTTAAATAGCTGTAATAGTTAATTTAATAATTTGATATTTGGACTGCCAACGAAAGCTTAGTCTTGTCTGCATTGTCTTTATAATTATTAGTTTTGTCTGCATTGTCTTTATAATTATTAAATTAAACTATTTGCACTTCGAGATATCTATCCTTAAGAAAATATTTAATACTATTTATGCCATAATTTTCCACCACATGGTCAGTGGAGTATTATTATACTAATAATAATAATAAATCAATAATATATAATACTTGGTCCGTCTCATCGAAACGTTACACATTTCTTATTTTCGTTTGTCCCAAAATAAGATTACTATTTCTTAATTTAGTAATTGTATTACCTAATTCACATAATAAATACCTTTTCAACTTACTATATATTACACAAATGTCATTACTTTTATATTATATTATATTAATAGGGGTATTTTTGTCTTTTTAACTACAATCCAATATAATACTAATATTCAAAAATCTACGTACAAAAAGCAAACGTCACCTTTATTGCGGGGCCGAGGAAGTACTATATTAAGTGAGTGAAAATTTCTTTTTTATCTTGTTGCTGAGGAGAAAATATTTACTTGGATTGTAGTTTGAAATGAATGTGAAATGCAACATTTATTTAAATTTTTATTTAAATAATATTTTGATATGATGTTTTGTAAAAAATAATAATATATTTTTATTAAAATTGTGCATTACCAATAGTATTGATTTTAATTTAAAATATTAAAAGAATATTATGATTGATTATTACTTTTGTCATATGTATTTGAGTAGATATATATTGGTCACATATCTTGAAAAAAAATTGTCATTTCAAAGGGAAAATTGTCGTATGCCATTATTTCTCTTGTTTGTTTGAGTAAAAGAAATAAAAGTTGAGAAATAAATTATTATTATTTATCTGATATTATTTCTCTTCCATACACAGAGAAATAGAGAGAAATGAACGTCAATATTATTTTTTATTTTGTTATATCTTTTTTATATTATTTAATTTTTAAAATTTATATTATCTCAATTTTACAAATTCACATTAAATTTATAATTCGAAATTTTAATTTTTACGATTCTTGAAAAAAAAAAAAAAAGTACTAACATATAATCTTACAAAATATCCTATATAATTTATAATTTTTTAAAAAAAATTACTAAAAATATTTTTTTCATGAATTCACACTCATTAAAAGTCTCTTTTGTTGAAATAATCATTTATTCTTATTTGATCCATTCAACTGTATTTTTATTTTTTTTTACATTTTTTATAGGAATTTTCTGTTAATTCACATTCTCTATTCAATTTATTTTCTCTGCAATTTTATTAACTTTACCAAAGGTCCCAAATATTATAAGAATGATAATTGAATGTTGGGTTTGTATTAGCTTGACCTTTTTATTCTAATTTTGATTATATTTTCGAGAAAATCAATATTTTTATTAAAAATTATATATATCTATATTAAATAATATATATATATATATATATATGTCAAAATCGACCCAGAAATTGCAATTTTTCCTCTTAATTGAGTTAATATGGATGCACGTCCACCAACCAACCATAACTAATTTATTTATTTATTTATTTTTTAGAGAATTATTGACGCGGGATTAGGTATAGGTGCTCAATAATTATGTTCTTTTTTATTTTCAAACAGGATGATTATTATACTAACTTTTCTAACAAGCATATTATACATTGTTTACATATTATTGTTTTAAATTTAATATTATTATTTATTACAAAAAAAATGTTCTTTAAAATATATTAAATTCAATATCTATTCTATATTTTCAATATTATATTTAAAACTTATTTTTACACAAATATTATATCTTTTGGACTTGCTTACTTAGTTTTTTTTTTTTTAATGATTTTTCATTAATATTATTACAAAAATATAATATACACATATTAACACAATATATATAATATATAATTTATCCATCTCATAAAATATTATTTTTTATATTATTAATATAATTTTTCATGCACAACATTAATAACATGCATTTAAATAAAAATTAATGTTTTTAGATTTGTTTTGTTTTTCTATTTCAAATATTATATATATATATATACTATTTTACTTGTATCGTTTTAAATAAAAGTATATTCTATTTGTCTGTTAAAATATATTTAGTTTTTCTTGTCTTTTAAAACTATTTTTTTAAAGTAAAAAAAACCATACCACCTTTTATATTTTTATTTACCGAAAGAAATAACTAAGAGTATATATTTTTATTAAAACTAGGGTAAGCGAAATATTTAAAATTCGAAAATTCGATTCAAATCAAACCACAATTTAAAATTTAGTTTGGATTTTCGAATTGGTTCGGATTGAATTTTTGACAAATTTTGGATTTTCAGATTGGGTCGGTATACTTAAAATCCGAATCGATCCGAAATCCGAAATATAACATTTTAATATATTTTTTATTATATATATTTAATATTTTATTAAAAAATATTAAATTTTAATATAAAAGATTCAAAATTATTAATTATATTTTAATATGTTTACTTTTATATTATATATATTTGATATTATAAAATAACAATAAAATATAAAAGAAATTTACAAATTAAAAAAATAATTAAAAATATTTCGAATTTCAAATTTTTTGGTTTAGTTCGAATTTCAATTTTCGATTATTTCAGTTCAATTTAGATTAATTTTTTCAAAAATTAAAATTTTCGGATTAGTTCGAATTTTGTGAAATCCGAATGCTCGCGCCTAATTAAATCTCATACTAAAGAATAATACTGTGAGCGCATTTTTCTAGACAGGTAGGGAGTACGGATTGCTTTCATAAAACAATATAGTAATATTATTTAAATTAAAATTTAAATTAATATTTTATTTTATATTATATTATTTTAGGTTACATTCCACGTTCAAATTAATTTCATATCACATTATTCTACTTTCTTATTGTTTTTGTCTAACCTTAATATATATAATTTTTCCCATTAAAAAATATTAATTTTTTATTAGTAAAAATAATTTATGTGTAAGTATCAAAATATTTTTAATATTTACAAAAATACTTATTTATTTTATATTTAAAAAATTGATTTTGTTCACACACAATTTCTTAGATAAGTTGATTTTTTTATTTATGTATAGTGTAAAAAATTGTGTCAAAAATATAAATTACATAATTTTAAGTTGAATTTGACTTTTTAACTTTTGAATGAATATTTAAATTTTATTATTATTTTTTTTTTACTTTTTGTAAAAAGTATTTTATAGTATTATTTATTATTAGGTAATTAGAAAGAAATAATGTTGGGAGATTATAACTAATATTTAAATATAAAATTTAGGTAAATAAATAAAAATGCTGTAATTGGTCCGCAGTTTCCTGGACAAAGCGGCGATCATCACCGGCGAAGACTCCATCAACTCCGACGGGTCCTCCGGCGAGCCATGGCGGCTCTGCAGCGTCCAGCAAGTAGAAGAAGCCAAGTGCGTTCTCCGCGTGATCCCGATCTCCCTCACCGCCGTCGTCTACCACATCGGCGTCCAGCAGCAGTACCTCGTCTTCCAGGCCCTCCAGTCCGACCGCCGCCTCGCCGCCACCTCCTTCCACATCCCCGCCGCCTCCTTCGTCGTCTTCGCCATGCTCACCGTCTCCATCTTCGTCCCAATCTACGACCGCCTCCTCCTCCCCTTCTCCCGCCGCCGCCTCGGCGGCGCCGGAATCACCGTCCTCCAACGAATGGGAATCGGCCTCTTCATCCCCATCGTCGAGTCCCTCGTCGCCGCCGCCGTCGAGCAGCGCCGCCGCGCGTCCGGCGGCGCCATGTCGGCGATGTGGCTGGTCCCGCAGCTGGCCCTCGGCGGCCTGGCGGAGGCGTTTTACGCCATAGGGCAGCTCGAGTTTTATTACAAGCAGTTCCCGGAGAACATGCGGAGCGTCGCCGGAGCGTTTTATTTCTGCGGCAGCGCCGTGTCGAATTATGTGTACAGTCTTTTGATATCCGTGGTGCACCGGTGGACGGAGGGGCCGGGCGGCGGCGGCGGCGGCGGGTGGCTGCCGGAGGATCTGAATAAAGGGAGGCTGGATTATTTCTATTACCTTGTGGCGGCGATGTGCGCCGCCAATTTTGGGTACTTTTTGGTGTGTTCGAATTGGTATAGATACAAAGGAAGTGATGACGTGGCGAAGGAGGATAAATTGGACCCTCATTCTGCTTAATTGATTAATTAATTAATAATTAATTAATTAATTGCTTCGCACACATCACTCTTACCACTATTTGAATTCGAGTTCAAGAAGGAGTGTTTCGTTTTCTTTTTTTTTTTTTTTTTTTATTTATTTTCTGTCTGGATTGAGTGTAGAAGATTAAATTTTTGATTTAAATAATATTTGATGTAATATATTGTGAGAAAAAATATTCATTTCAATGCATTTGATTACTAACATGGGCAAGTACATATATTTTTGTAATAATTTTTTTTTTTTTTTTTTGGTTATTGTAATCACACTTACGCTTCATTACGCAGCAGATTTATTATATTCTATCTGACCTATCAAAATTATACTCGTTTTGTTTAAGGAAATAACCATAATTTTAACAAGCAAAAGAATTAATATATTTATAGTTATCTAACTAGTATTATAAAATTAGCATTGCGCCGATGACATTATATAATTATACAAACATGCTTAAAGAATGTATTTACCAAAGCCCACCCTGTTTAAAATTGATTTGAAATAAAATATTAATTTTATATTTTGTTTAACTGTGATTTTAATGTAATATTTTATATAAAAAATATTATATTCTTATTGAAAATTGTACAATTGTAATTTCAAATTGAAAGTACAACCAAACAAATCCGGAAATTTACAAATAAAGATCAATTGATACCTTAAAATAAAGATACCTTGAACAAATAAAATCATTTGAACATTTTTAATCAACACATAATAATCAATACGGGTGCATTTGTTTTGTACAACAATTTGAATGAGTATTTTTCTATGTGATGTGGAGAAAATTGTGTAAAAAAATATAAAATTAATGAATATATGTGATATATTAATATTTTTGAAAAAATTTAAAAGAGCACACTCGTTCGTAACTACATATCTTTTGTGTTCAAGTTAATAGTAGTATGTATTATGTAAATTATTCGGTTCATATCTTGTATTGTGATTATTTTATATAAACTTTATAAAGTTAATTAATACTTCATGTTATGCCCATTTATGCAGAGACGTTATACTAAACGATATTCTATTCCTCGTCAAAAATTATGTCCTATAAACAACTTTATCCACCCAATTTTATTATTCTACTTTAACAAATAATACCCGTCATCCGAATTTATACATACTTTCCTTTTTGTTGTTATAAAGACAAATATTTATGTTCCTTCCTTCGGTAAACAAAAAAAATATACTCCCTCCGTCCCAAAACTATAGTCTGGATTGTGTTTGGGTAAAAAATACCGAAAAAAAACTCTTGTCCTTACGAGTGTATCAGTGTATATATGAGTGTATCAGTGTACAAAATAGTGACAATTATGTAATAATAATGAAAAAGTAAAGGTAGTTTTATAGTGATATGGTTATTTATGAATATGAGACTATTGTTTTAATACGAACCAAAATGGTAAATATGACTATTATACAGGGACGGAGGAAGTATATGTTTTACTATAAAAAGAAAAAAGTTCTATTTTTATTTATTTTTTTTAAAAATCCAGTTCCGATCAAATTGACACAAATATCGCTAAAATTTTGAGCATTAATGACATGAAAAATGGTACATTGTCATTTATACATGTGCCAATGGCAAAAAGAACTCATCTTTGATCTTGAATGGAAACTAAAACACACACAATATTTCCCCCAATAAACAAGAAACAAGACATATTTCAACATCATCTACCATTCAACTCATTGCAATAAACTACACAAAACTGAAATCATCATAAGTAAAGCGGTAACCGGACCTGATCGCGACATCAACACGCTCGCCTTCGAAGGAGGGGCCGAATCCGGGGGGGGCCGTCTACCCAAGGATGATGCATCTTCCTTTGTACATGTGTAGTTGCAACGACTCGGACTTACAATTCTGTACACTCCATTATAGGTTAGGATGTAAACATTCTTCTCGTTGTCTTCTCCGAATGAAAATATGAAACTCAAGTCGGCCATTTGGCTGCCGCGGGCAACCCCACAGCTTAAGGGCGAGTCTGATGCACAACTGAATGGAATCTTGCTCGCGTTGAATTTCCCACTGCCCCTGGGATTTTCGACGCCTGCCCATATAGCGCCTGCATAAAGATCCGCGAACAAATAGCTGCGAATATCGAATACTCCATTTTTTAGTGACAAATGTGTGAACCTTAGTGAATGCAAACTACTATAAGCTGTATCAGTAAAACCTCTTGATTGAGCCAAAGTATTGTGCATTCGACCGAGAAAAATAAGTAGGCGAGCTCATGTTCAAATGTTAAAGTTGCACAATTTTCAGGTTTTTATTGCGTTCACCCAACAAAGATTTTCAGCACGCTCCAATATTAAAAATATATGTACTCTATATATTCAAAGTCAACAATTTAATACAAAATATTATTAAATATTCACCAAACTTATGCACAATCTATTTCTTACCAATTTTATCGCTCATAAATTTATTACCACTACTATAACACATAATAATCAAGCAAAGTTATATAATTTTTCTAAATAGGAGTATTTTTTATACTATATTCGTTCGGCTCTAAAGACCACATTTACTTTTTGCGTATTCATCTTTGAATATTAATTATTATATCAAAACGTAGTACAAATCAAGAAAAATGACAAAAATACTTCTATTAGTGTCTTATAATACTAATAGAAGAACATTTATACAAAAAAAAAAATTATACAAATATATTGATATTTTTAATGTTAAGTACAATGACGCAAAAAAGTAAATGTAACCCTTAAAAGCGGACGGAAGGAGTATACTTCTTCGTATCTCTAACATAAAAAATACTTGCATCGAAAAACAAAAAGTGAACATTGGTACTCATATTTTAACATAAATGCACAAAACATCATATATATATATATATATTTTATTTAGTGAACAATATGTATGGAATTCCTATTTTATCAGGATTTTGTGTACAAATATAAGGAGTTTATACACTATATTTGCAAACACAGTGGTAAAATATCTAATAAAATTTATAGCTTAACTAAATATATAGACAAGCAATTACCTTTCAGCGAAAAAATAAAATAGAAGAGAAGAAATCAAAATGAACACAGAATACACATGTTTTGTGTCGGAAATATTACCCGAGGCAACGGTATTTTCTGGTAAATTCTTGACTAGTGTATATTTTCTATGGTGGATTAAGGAAGGACCAATACAAACTAGACAAAGTTTGAAAATGGTGGGATCGAAAGGACCTATGAATTTTAAACTTCTTGCTGAAAAAATTAGACTTTGATCGTGTATGAACATATTATCAGCTACTAAATAGCAATAAAAATTATGGACAGTGAATTTGTTACCTTCCATGCATACAAGGATCCGTCATAGATCGATAAAAGTAGCCACCAGTGATCGATGCTGAAGCTTCATTAGACTTCACGTCAGAGTGATTATATCCCATGACAGGAAAAATTGGCCTTATCAAGTTGAGTGTAGTATTTCCACCCGGGGACTCAGGAGGAGTATAGGGTTCATAACCCTCATAAACACGCCATCCGTAATTTCCACCCTTGCTGATCAAATCCACCTCTTCATATTGATTCTGTTCAATAATCACGGCAACTAATATCTAATATTAGAGTCGAGAAAATTAAATGGATATTGAAGCCTACTTAAGCAGGCTTAGGTTCAGAATAAGCTCAGTCATAGCATACGAAAGTCGTCTATATAATATACTGTACCTGTCCTACATCTGCACACATGAAATACGACGGCCTTGCAGAATCAAAACTGCAGCGCCAAGGATTTCGTAGTCCAAGAGCCCATATCTCTTTAAGCAAAGCTTTATCTAGTGTATATGGGTTGTCTTTGGGTATAGAATAGTTTCCCCACAGACCAAGCTGATTGATTTCAGCTGCACCTGAATGAGTGTCCCAAATGTGCTAGAATCAGGGGAATGAACAAGAATCTATCAAATCGGAACACGAGGAATAATCAAATTCTAATGCACTTGTGGCAAGGAATTCTTTAGAGTATAAAGACTAATGAAAGTTTATTTGCTATTTTTATTTTCGAAATTTCATTGTGCTAATAAAATCAACATCAAGAAATAGATAAGCAATACTAAGCCACAAACAACCATAAAACAAGGAAAATAAAACAGGATACCTTCAGAAAAGATAATGAATATTCTAGTGTGGTTCCACAAGAAAAAATATATATATATAAAAAGGGAATGCAAATTTTTTAGATGGGTAAACTATGCTAAGTTATAAACAAGTAAAATACATTGATCCGTTACCATCCAACCAAAGTTTCTGATGATAATTCAACCAATTACACCAAACTAGAGCTTAATAGACTCATGATATTTTTTCACAATGTTTGAGATAGCATGTATTATACACACATCTAATGGCAAGAATAAGAAACCCGACACTATATACACTATTAATTATTACAAATTTCTTACCTATAAAATATACATAGTATAGAACTACTTTCCTATATTAGTTATTAAAAATCTCATTATACATAGTTATCTCATTTATAGTCCATCTCGTATCTGAACTACATAAAAACTTATAAGGTAATAACAAATTAAACCGACCCCATTTCCTGACTTACCGAACCCATGAATGGAATTCCTCAACCTCTTTTAGATTGTAGATTTTTTGAGTTTATGAAAGTCAGTGGCGTAAGAGGGGCAATCCTGTTTGTTTTATTTTTCATCACTTCACAAGGTTGAGAGATTGTATGCGATTTACAGTTTTAATGAAATCAATACTTAATATATATACATCACAATGCTATATAACATGTACACATGCACACCTGCTTTTAATGTATTTTTGAAACACAAGAATAAGACATTAGCAATAAAGTAACTAACCACAAATGTATCACGGGTAGGATTGTCGATTAAATAAATAATGCTTATTATGTGGAATGGAGCACTTCGTGGATACTCAGATTTGCAAAAATCATTAAGTAAACTCACTTGGTACGCTATCAATGTCAAACCTCATGATCTTTCCGAGTAAGGATTTCTTGTTTTGTGCAAAATTGTAAGGATCACCTTGACCCCCACCATCTCCCATCATAAAGTATAAATAGCCATCTCGTGGTCCAAAAAGAATCTGACCCCCATGGTGTGCTGTAAATGGAAGCCCCATGGTGAATATCCTTCTTACCTCTGAAGGGTTACCACTTGTTGCCTGGTAAAAACAAAGATCAAGTATTATTTCTAAATGGCTAAAGATGTTGAGAATTTCGAAAGTTATGAAATATAACATATACCAAGGCCGGCTGGGATCCTGTACCATTAGTAGAAAACTCTGCTATAACACTGTTATATTGACAAGGCTGCGCACCATTGTCTGGAGGTAGTTTTGCAGGGTCACAGTTCACGTCAGGGTTACAAGCACATCTGCCGGCACAGGGGGGCCACTTAGCCTTATCACAGTTGAAGGAAGCAAAAAATCGACCATTTTCAGTGAATTTTGGATGAAATGCAATTCCCAACAGCCCAAATTCGGTATCAAAATGAACTTCATTGGTTAGGTCTAGAAAAGGTTTAGCCTCATCAATTTCCAAAAGCCCCCCTGACCCCTCCTTAGGAATCGTTGCCAAGAAAATACTGCCTTGCTGGCTCGAGAAGAAGGCACGGTTTGAACCATCAGGATGAGCAACCATGTTCAGGAAGGATCCGTTACTTATTTTCTCAAGGCACATACCACTCGGAGGGGTTGAAGTTCTAGTATCATTCAGGGTCACAGGTGCACCATTGAAGCATACTGATCCATCATCAGATCCACCACCAAAAGCATCACAGAAATTTGTTTGTGATTCCCAGAGATCGGACAGCTTCGTCGAATTTGAGTCTATCGGTGCTCCAGCTCCACCTCTTAGTGATGCAGCGAAAGGCGAATTCAAAATAGACACATCTTTGCAGGAAGTCCATACTTTGAGGCAGAAGTTATCTGCAGCTTGGTTAGATTGTGTTGAATTTGGCGCAATTGTAGAGTTACACAAGACAGGAACTTGCCGACGACCAGAATCAACTCTAAAAAGCTCAGCCGAAAATGGATCACACCTCTGGAAATCAGATCAAAAAATAAAATAAAATAAAAATACTCAACTTAAGTTTTATCCTCTTCGTTGCGAGAATGCTAGGCACCATGTCATACTTTTAATTTACTTGAAAAGATCTAGATAAATTCATTAGTAGAGATTCCAGAACTAGAATATACATTTCCATTCAGTTCCATATTGAAGGATCTTATCTACAAGCTCTTGATAATCTTATTGTAACTATTATCCAAAAAATCACAACAAAGTTCGTCGCATTGCTCAAATCAAACATAATTAATAGCTTAAAATATGGCAGAAAATTCTTAAAGCAACAATAATAACATTGTTTGGTAACATCAAGGGTACAATGCTCCCAACAAAAGCAGCAACAAACAAAATGCAGAAGAACTAACACCAACACGAATAAGACCTACATTCAATAATCTCCGGCATGATACCAACTGCAGAATTCAAGAGACATCCAAAGAACAAAAAGACTAATTGCTCGATCCAAAAGTCTGCAAAGGCAATTACTTATTCATCGGAAATGAAAAAGGACTTAATTTTTCCCATTAAAAACAACAAAAAGGCATAGCTATCACAGTAAACTAAGGGTGTGTTTGTTTGGGGAATTGGATTTAATTTTCGCTATTCATCTCATTTTTTCCTCCAAAAAAATCAAATCAAACATCTATTTTTCATTTTCTATATTATACTAAAAATCAATTTTACATTCAAAACATCACATCAACACCTATTTATATCGCATCATACAACTATTCAAATTCAAAATTTTTACTATTCAAATCCCAATTCAAAATCCAAACCCCCAAACAAACACACCCGGAGTAGAATCAAACTCTAAAACTAACATTATTTCAGAAACTTACAAGAGTAACAAAACACTGAAAAAGATTTGTTCTTACGGCGCAAAGGATTGATTTCAGAAGAGACCCACAGTCGGAGTTCGAAATATTCATTGCTTCAAACTGCTTTTTCAAACGTGAATCTGCAGCGTAGTTGCAGCACCTGATGCCGCCATTGTAGGGACAGAACTGCAGACGAGACCTCGGAGTAAAAGGTGCTCCTACAACAAGACAACACAAAAAACACAGCTCAACCCATAGTTCTTCTTCTCACAGGACTTTAATCAAACACCTTATATACATACTTACTTGAATCAGAGCACAGCGGCAGAGCACAAAAGCGATCAACAAATTGCAGCAGCAGCATCAACAACAAAATGAAACCAACGCAATCACCACCTCCCGCCATCCCGAATTCATCGAAATCGAAGAGAAAGGTTAAACAGTACAAAACCCCCCACTTTTCAACTACATTGACAAAAACCTAAGATTGACGAGAAAACACAAAAAAGTCCCCCGTTTTGATCAAATCAAAACTGATTATTCGTAAACGTAAGTATTTCTTCTGAGGATCTCCGTTGTGAACGCATAAATCACGCCAGCAACTTGGTACAGGTACAGGCAGTCCCCATTGTTGACTTGGCATCATCAATTCACAAAATTAAATATTGGGTAGTTGTGAGGAGCGAGAACAAAACCAGCCTGGAAGCTCCGGAGAAGCGTGTAAATATGATGCAGTGGGGTCGAATGTTGACTGCAATTTAGGCGCTTGTTTATATGAAACATCAGTATCAATGGCGGCACGCTTTGACTGTGCACGACCAGAACATCTCTGAGTTTTGTACATCTGACAAAATCAATTTCAGGTATGGGGTGTGTTTCCACGTGTTTTGCGATAACATCTTTTTTCTTTTTCTTTTGGCTGCTCCTTCCTGTAATTTGGGTGTGTTAGGATATAAGTAAAATATAATTAAAAAATATTTTAGTAAAAATAATTATAAATTAAAATTAAAATAAATAAATAATTTAATTAAAATTATAAAATTATAAAATTTAAAACATAACAAATTATGTACAATGGAGAAAGTATTATTATTGCTAGTGAAGTGCCCGAGATACAAGATTATTAAATTCTTAAATTAATTATTATTATTAAATATATTATTTTTTAATATAAAAATTATTTGAATAAATTAAAATATTTTATACAATTAACTTTTATTTAATAATAATAATAATAAAATTCTTATATATATAAAATAGTATTTCCACATATACAAAATTCTGTTTCCTTTTATATATATATAATCTTAAATAGACAAATATATTAGGAAGATAATAAAAAACAATAGTAACTTATAAATTAATTACTGTTAAAAATAATATTCAAAACTTAGATAAAATGTGTATATATTATTCTTTGCAATTAAATTATAATAATAAAAAAAGATATTATTTATATTTATAAGTCAATAGCATATAATTATAATTTATTTACATTTGATGCATATAAATTTTAATTTTTTAAAAAATTTATATTTAAATAAAAAAAATTAATTTGATAATAATGTTTTTATTTTTATTTTTCTAAATTCCTAATTAAATGATATAAATAAATAACAAAGTGTTTAAATTACATTTATTTGTTTTATTTTCAACAATTTATTTTTATTGTTCATTAAAAATAATATATACTCCACTTATTGATTTGAAAGCTAACTTGTTCCAACATTCAAATACAAAATATCAGAAAAAAAAAAGAAAAGAAAAATACTAAGTGTAACTTTATTATATATCATAAATATAAAAAATTTATTTTTATTTACATCGATACATCAAATTAAAGTATGATAACAATTTCGATAAAAAAAAATATATGATAGACAAAATAATATATACATACAAAAGTATAAAAAGTTAATATTTCTTTCATCTCGTATATAATACTCCCATCATTTCATGTTTATCTATTCGTTTACTTTTTGCATAAAGTTTTAGAAATATTAATAGTAGAATATAAAGATAATGTCATTTGTGTAATATATTATAAATATGAAGAGTATTTGTAATGTTAGATGAATATGGATAGTACAGTTACTAAAAAAAATGAAAGAAATACTTTTGTTACGAGATGGACCAAAATAGAAAAATAGCTAATTTGTTAAAGGACGGGGGAGTATCACACTTTTTGATTTATTTTCGGCTCATATCTAATAAATTCCCATATCTACACTTATTGTAACATTATATTCGGCACAGATACAATATTAAAATATAATAGTATAATTTTTTCTAAAAAAATATCAAAATATATACATTTTTTTTATTTAAAATATCACTTTAATTTTATATATCAAATTATATAATTACTTTAATTTAAAGTTTGATGCACAAAAGAATATCAAATAAATAATAATATTCTCTACGTCCATTTTGAAAGTTTATATTTACCTTCTACGTCATTATACTTAACGTTAAAAATATCATTATATTTGTATTATAAGACACTTATAGAAGTATTTTTGTTATTTTTACTATATTTGTACTATGTTTTGATATAATAATTAATATTCAAATATCAACAAGTAAAAAGCAAATGTGAACCTTTAAAGTTGACGGAGGGAGTATAACATAATATTCCATTTTTCCGCCAAAATTATATCACCGTTTCTGTTTTGATTGTCCGGTAAATTTATATACAATTCATTTATAGTAAATAATATTATCCTTCTATAATTTTATTATCTTTATTTTAAAAAATACTCCCTTCGTTTCACATAGCGTCTCCGGGTTACGGTAAACACAAGAAAATAAAATTAAAATATATAATCAATTTTTTTCAAAAAAGAAAAGACACGTGAGATACGAGACGAACAGAAACGGCAATGTGAACACGATAGATGTGATGAAAAGAATAATAACTAAATTGTTATTTTTTAAATTTATTCAATTAGTTTTTTATCAATCATTTTAATAAATTTATCATAATATTATTACTTTATCTTTTATATACTAATTTTAATATTAAGATATCATTATTTCTCAATTTCAATGCCCAAATAAAATAATTAAAATATAAAATAAGCTTCGTACCAAAAAAATATTTTTCCTCTATCTCAATTCAAAGTATTCTTTCTATAATTTTCGTCTATTTCATCTCAAAATATCTTCTTTTTTTTAAGAAAAAATAATCGTACACTAATAAATATCTTTAACTTTTACTTAAATTACAAATATATCATTACATATACAATTACTTTATACAAAAAATGACAAACATATCAAAATCTCTTATACATTTCTACTAACTAATAAAATACTATTATTTATTAATTTATTACAAATTCCCAAACAACTCATTTTAAAAAGGACGGAGAGAGTAAAAAAGAATAATAGATGAAAAATGGGCCGTACACAAAAATAAAAATAGTACTCTATCTGCCACGTAACAAATAATACCATTTTCATTTTAGTATATCTTATAATAAATGATATTTTTTTATATTTGGTCAAATCTACTAATTTAAAATATATTTAACAAATATAAATCATAGGTTGAAGTTTTATTATTGACCAAATGTAAATTATCGAATATTCGATAATTATTTTTGATTATTTTGAAATATAATTTATATAAATCTTATAAAAAATTGTATTTCCCACGAGTAACATGTCTATTCGAAAGACAAATGTATTTCGAATGATGATATTATTATTATTATTATTATTATTATTATTATTATTATTTTCTATTGTATGAAAAATATATTTTATTAATTGAATGTTTATAATATGTTTTGTATCTTATATTTTTGTGTATTTGTTAATATTTGATTGTTCGCGTTACTTTTATGCTCTCTCCGTCCACTGTCAATCTATTCATTTTTGTTATTTTAGTATGTCCATCGCAAATGTCTATTTTTTTTTTAATAAATGTATCTTCCACTAAAATATAAAATTACTTCACCCTTTATATAATGTTACACAAATGTCATCAAATAATATCACTTAATACCATAAATATTAAGGGAGGGGTATAATAGTCTTTTATGTATATTAATTGTATCACATATCAATATAATACTAATATACTAAAATCTACGTGCAAAAAGCAAACAGATAGATAGACGGTGGACGGAGGAAGTAATATTTACTTAATAATTTTATATTTTAATATTCCACTTTATATAAGATGTGCATATTTTTTATTTTTTATTTTTCTTTTTATTTTTCGTTAAAAGTACGAATTATATTTAAAAATTGAAAAAAAAAAATAATTAAAAGTATATATAGAAATTTAATTAGTAAAGAAAATTTACAAAAATTAAATACAATAATGTAAATATTATTATCTATATATTAATTTAATATTTTATTACTTCTAATATAAATATGTAACTAATAATAATTATGTTCGTAATTAATAATTTTTTATTTTTTTGAAATTCTTTATCATTTTAAAAATTGATTTAATAATTTTTAATTCTTATTTAAACATGTAATTAATAACAATTACATTCATAATTAACACAACTCAATACTATAAATATCTATAATAAAGTCATATTCAAACCTTATTTTTATATATCACAAACTTTATATATCAAATAAAATCTAATTATTCAACTAACTTATCGAAATATATCAACGATATGAATAAAATTTATATATTTCCCTAATTATTTTTTTCCTATTTTATATATAATTTAAATTTATTTGAATGTATATTTATTATAATATAACTATGGGGTTTAAATGAATTTTATACATATTTTTATTACAATATTCATAATTAATAAAACTATAACTAAACAAATTTATAAAAATAAAAAATTTGCTATAAATTTTATGATATTGTATAAAGTATAGAATATTTATTTCTTTTATTTTCAGTTAAATTATTTATTTTAGTTTTAAAAATAAGTATATACTATGTTATATATTTATATATTCAAATAAACATATATGAATCTTGAGTAACTTGTACAAATTTATTTGATTAAATTTTAAATTATTACAACTAAAAAAAATAATTATTTCAAATATGAATAAATTTTTAAATATAAAGGTATATTTTGAATCTCATAACAATTTTTTTTTTTTTTTATTTCTTAAATTTATTTTTATTTTATTTTTTAGATTGTTTTTCCTTTAATTATGAATTATGATTTGAGTTTAGTTTTGAATGAGATTAATTTCGAATTTATTTATAAAATTTTATCTAAATTATATAATAATTCTTTATATTCGCCTAATTTTTTTATTTTATTTATGATTTATATTTGTTTGATATATATTTAAAGAAAATATGATATATTTTTATAGTAATAATGATAGTAAATAAAGATTAATAGCTAAATAATTTTTCTTCTACACAAATTAAATAGAATAAATTTAATGAAAAAATAAAAAGAAAATTCTTAAAAAATTAATAAATAAAAAAATAAAATATAAAAAGACCGTGGATCGCACGGGTTTCCCATAGATAGTATATTGTTGTTAGCTGTTGTTTTAAATATTATTAAAATTTCAACAATAAAATTAAATTTGTTTGGTGGTGATTTGAAGATAGTTAATTTAATTTCTTTTGAATGCTGTTTTTACGTCATATTTTGTGATGAATAATATTACTTTTATTTTTTCTCCAAATACCATTTAAAATTGGATAATATGTATCAATTATTGTAGATATGAAAAATTAGGTAAAATATATTAGTAAAAATAAATATTTTATAATAAAAATAATTATATTTTAAAATTAAAATAATTAAATAATTTAATTAAG